TTCCTTATTGGTTGAAGATAGTAATTTGTTCAAGTGCTGTAGATTGAAAACGTTTTACTTTTTTGACTTCTTCTTGAAAACTAAAAGCCTGATTGCTATGATACCTGCTGTATATGTACCTCACTTAAATTTTTTTATTTCGTGAAGGTAACTTGAATTTAGATGAATATTTTTGCCATTTGTGGTAGAAAGGAATATTTTTGACTTGTTGATATTATACATATAGGTACTACAGTTGGACCTCAAAGATTGTTCATTTCATGATGATATCTTCAATTCTCTAATTTTGATATATATTTGTGTCATTTTAGATAAAAAAGAGGCTGCTTTTTTCGTAACTAATTATACTACATATAAAATTGTCAAATATAATAGACTGTTTCAAGTTCATCATTGTTTTTTATCTATTTAAGATTTAATACAGTTTCATTTTCCTTTCATGCGCAGGTCATGTTTGGATAAAAAGATCTATTACAGCCAAAACAAAGTCAGCTAGGACATTCAGTTGTGAGACATGACATAGAACGCGTTGCGACGATGAGTCTCACCTGCATTTATCACTCACGCAAACGCACACAAACGTGCTATTTCCGTATATTAAATACGTTGGCAACGGAAGGAACAAGTTTAAATCATCTTTGTATTAACACAACTTGAAAGCAACAGTTTCACAAGAATATATGTTTATCAATCATCAAACTAAACATTCAATGAAGTGGACTGCGATGGTTACGTGGCTAAGTTGAAGGACATGCGACAGTGTTATTAAGCTCGTCTACTACACGTTCAAGTATCCAACTTTCCGATAAAAAAACGTGATTAGTATCAGCAATAATTTCCAGTACTGGATATTTGCTTATTATTATTATTACTATTCTTTGGTGGCCCACGAGCTCTGTTCCTTGTTTGCACTTTATCATGTTCACACAAACTGATTTTTCTTCGGCAATGTAATATACAAGTGCGTTGGGAAATATGTTGCGTGAGTGAAAGAGGCTGGTGAGACCGTGTCACAACGCGTTCTATTTATTTCCAGCGCGCGTGGTCGGCGCCTTTGATTGCGTTTATTTTGTATTTTTATGCACGAAATGTATCACTGGCTGAGTTTGCTTTGTCCTGTCTCACAACTGATTGTTCAAGCTGACTTTGTTTTGGCTGTATATATTCAGTTCATGCTGAATAAATGATAAGAGAAACCACTATCTCCCTATCAATACACCTTAAAAATGTTGCAAATATCTTGTTAACATTCTTAGCAGTGTTTATGGGCTTTGGCACTTTGAATTCCAATTAACAGCTGGTGCCCATGACACAACCACTTCCACCAGCGGTGCTGAGTTAGTAAAAGTCAGATACAGTGTACACCTGGTTTTTTAAATGTTGTATTTCACCCATGTTTTGAAGATGAAAATTAAATTAAATGTGGCTTAATATCACAAGACGTCCACATTTGAAGTACAACTGTTTACTAGCCCTGTTCTTAATGATGTTGCAGATGGCTTAATGACAATACTTCTCTGCAAATTTCCAACATTTGAATGCAATCACAGCAAAGAATCTTCTGGAGGATATTGCAATGTTCTAAAGAAAATTGATAAGATGTATTTTGGTGTTTACACCAAAATAAATCTCAAATATTTGTCCACATATTTATTCTCTCAATTTAACAACTTGTAATGGTTGAAAATAATTAAACAAGAGTTGTTTACACCAAAATAAGTTTCAAATATTTGTCCACATATTTATTCTCTCAATTTAACAACTTGTAATGGTGTAAAATAATTAAACGTGAGTTGTTTACACCAAAATAAGTTTCAAATATTTGTCCACATATTTATTCTCTCAATTTAACAACTTGTAATGGTGGAAAATAATTAAACGATTGTTGTTTACACCAAAATAAGTTTCAAATATTTGTCCACACCTTTATTTCCACAATTTAACTATTGTTAATGCTGGAAATTAATTAAATCCGACTTGTTCACACCAAAATAAGCCTCAAATATTTGTTGATAAATTTGTTCTCTCAATTTAACAACTTGTTATGGTGGAAATTATTTAAATGCGATTTGATTGACATTATTCGAACTTACCAGCCGACAGTGCACAAGAGAGTATCATTATTGAGCTAAAATTATTAACAATAATGTGTCTTGACATTGGGATTAGGGTTGAGTCAGGTTTTGTCAACGCAAATGGCAACCACCAAATTGGTTGAGACTCAAGATGTACAAGTGGGTTATGGCATACATATAGTTTACACGATGAGGAAACACCAAATTGGCAATATTATTGACAATTTTGACTCAATAATGGAAATGTGTAGTATGTCTTTATATATGCACACTATATAGTCTCACCAAATGCAAAGATAAGTTGTCAGTCCATTGTCTACATAGTGATAGGTAGGACCCAGGTTCAAAATTCATTCCTGGCCGTCTTTTCTCACAATGAGATTTTTATATGCTAAGGAGAACTGTTCTCCCCCAATTTGTGTGGTACAGTGGACAAAACAGTGCGCTAGAAACTCAAAGATTGAAAGTTCAAATCATGGACTGGACACTCCAACAAAATATATAAAAAATGTTGAAGGCATATACAGCTTAAAGCTTCAGTCTATCAAGAACTCAAGTCAGCTCAATAACAGGACACAAGAATACTACCTCACATGGAATTCGAAGCTAGTCACGGGCGACGAAATACAACACGGTTAACAGTTGCATGTCACATGCACACCAACAGACACAAGGATCTTTGCTGCTCTTCCTTTTTTGTATTGGCCCCCTAAGGATTGCTAATTATCCCTTTCTAACTCTTGCCGCCCAAAATAATAGATTGCCCCTTTTAGTATGTATTGACCCACAAATTAATGAATATTCATGATCACATGAATTCACGTCATGAATAAATTAGCATAATTAAAAACAAATATTGCATTGAGTGTAGGTACGTCTTCTAAAATTATGCACTACATTATTTTCCTCTGTTGATTAACGTTCTTAATTCATTATGCGACAAACCACAAATGTGCCATACGCTTTTAATACAAAGGCGGCAGTGAGTAAATGAACAAACGTGTTGCATTGTGTCAAATGCAGTCATGTCCCTCAACAAAATGTGGTCATTAAAACATGTCCAGATTGGTCAGAAACATGTCTCGACTATGTTTCTATGAGGTGAGATGTTTTAGACATGCCCCAAAACCAGGCCAAAAACATGTCTAGGGCAGTGTGCACTCTTACTGAAATATGTTTGTAACATGACTGATACATTTTCTCTTAAAATCATTATTCCAAAACTTGTTCCGGACTAGTTTGTTTTGGTGCAGGCAAGTTTCAATCCATCTTTGCCAGCCAAGGACCAATTATTCGGCCTAAGCCTCAACTTCAACCTTTGGCAGATTTCACAACAATTTACTGTATGTCGCACAGCCTCAAACGATTATAAGATTCACTTTAACTCATTTACCCAATCAGAACTTGAAAAGTACAATCGTTTCCTAGATATGAAAAATCTCAAACATGTCTCAAAAAGACTTATAATATTTTTGCACTCAGAGGCACAATCCCATGAAATCTCACAATATCTCACAAGATTATGTGAGATCTTGAGTCAGCCATGATGGATAGGTGAATATGATGTGGTAGCATTGGCACAGAAATGGTGAAATTCTGTCACTAAACTGCTTTTCATCATACCAAATTGTCAGCAACCAATGCCTGAATTCATCTGGAACTAGATTTGATAAGCTGCAGTTACTTATTATAGACAGTTTGAGTCCTTAGAAATACAATGTTTCTATCAGTTAATAGCAATAAAGAATAGATGTGATAACTACTACTGCACAAAGAAAGTTGATAATGGCTGTGCTTTTTACTTGTAATTATTTTTAGAGGTATTAAAGCCAGGGGCTTTAACTTGATATTTTGGTGTATGTGTATCTCATTTCCAGTACGATTGTCTTGTCTACCCCATTCTAGCAGTGAAAGAACCCCCTGTCCAGTGTGA